TGTTAAGTCTTTGATAGTTATTGAGACATAGGATGGTGAGTATGTGACTCCTGCTCTACGCTGGTATGTAAATCAGTCGCCCTCCTTTACACAGATGATAAGTGGGCTGAGAAATTAGAGAAACATCACCTCTCTCAATAGCTAGAAATACCATGAAATATCTTGGAGTAACTCTAACCAAACAAGTGGAAGTTGTGTATGACTTTAAAGCTCCGAAGAAAGAAATTGAAGAAGACACCAGAAATTGGAAAGATCTCTTATGCTCTTGGGTAGGTAGAATTAACATAGTAAAAATGACAATCTTACCAAAACCTATTTAAAGATTCAGTGCAATGTCCAGCAAAATCCCAACAAAATTCTTCACAGATATTGAAAGAACAGTGGTGTGGGAGGTTTTTCTGTCTATGTGTTGATTTTTATTGGTTAATAAATAAAGAAAACTGGCTTGGCCTATAGCATGGGAGGAGGAAGGCAGAGTTAGGAGATGTCATGGATCCACCACAAGAGATAGAGGTGCTGAAACTTTGCTGATAGACCACGACCTCATGGTGATGCAAAGATGAATGGAGATGGGTTAAATTAAGATCTAATAGTTAGCCAATAAGAAGTTAGAGCTAATGGGCCAAACAGGGTTTAATTAGTATAGTTTCTGTGTGGTTATTTAGGTTCTGGGCAGCCAGAACAAACAAGCAGCCTCCTTGCAACAGAACGGTACTGAACTTCAAATTATAAAGCAAAAAATCCAAGGATAGCAAAACCAATCCAGTACAATAAAAGAACTTCTGGAGGCATCACAATCCCTGACTTCAAACTCTACTACAGAGCTGAAAACAGCCAACTATTGGCATAAAAACAGACAGAAGGTCCAATGGAACTGAATTGAAGACCCAGATAACAACATGTAGAAGAAAGAAAATAGATCCATATCTATCACCATGTACAAAACTCAAGTGCAAATGGATCAAGGACCTCAACATAAAGCCAGCCATGCTGAACTTCATAGAAGAGAAAATGGGAAGTATATTTGAATGCATTGGCAGAGGAGACCACTTCCTAAATATAACCCCAGTAGCACAGATGCTGAGAGAAACAACAGATAATTGGGATCTCCTGAAACTGAAAAGCTTCTGTAAAGCAAAGAACAAGGTCAACAAGATTCATCTGTTCTTAAGTATGAGATGCTGTTTCTGAATTCTCATCTTGCTTAGCCCTATCTGAGTAAGACCCAATGTCTTTTTGTCACTGCTGTTCTTGAGAACATATCTCAGTCTGTAGCCAAGGACAGCCCAGAACTCACTACATAGGTCAGGCTGGGCTGAAATTTATGGCAATCTTTCTGCACTGGCATCTTGATTTCTGGGATTTAAGTAAGTGTCACCACACCTGGTAGGTACCAACATTTTGACTTGTGCCTTATAGATGTGATTCCAACTGTGATAAGTTTATATTTATGAATTTCAAACATGTCTTTCCCTCTTAGCCAAGTTTAGACAGGGTGTTATCCTTGGTCTGCATACATAGGTTCTGATCCTTGTTTGAGTTTTTAGCTCAGCTAACCACTCAGGATGCATTGCCTTCAGAATATAGATCGTGTTCCATATGTGATGTCAACATCATCCTTGCTCTTCTTCATATTCTCATGACTTACCTCATGCCCTGTCTCATCTCAGGCTTGCCACCATTTGCCAGAACCCACAGCTTCAATTAGACTCACACACAAAAGATAGAATTGGCTAATTATGAAAAATCAGTCCCGTTTTCATTCCTCCTGAGACTAAAGATAGAAGCTGGGAGTTGGAAAGTTTTGTTTACTTGAACAAAGACTCCTCCTTCTATTGAGGACCACTGTCCACTGCATCTATGACCTTGCCTAGGCTAGCAGACATTCTCCATTGTGACTCTGATTATACCTATGCTAGTAGATACTCTCTGTTGTGACTATGACCACGGCTAGGCTAGCAGACCCTCTCCATTGTGGCTGTGACCATGCCTAGGCTAGGAGACGCTCTCCACTATGACTGACAATGCCTAGGCTAGCAGAAAATGCAGATCTGGAGCTGATGATTCTGAACCATTTACTTGCTTGTTTAACTCTGCCACTAGCACCCGCATTTTCTATTTACAAGCTGAAACATCCAATTCTACTCAGAATAGGAATAAACCAGGTGGCAGAGGAGGAATCATTTTATGGTAACCTACTATATACTAACTACTATGCAATTATAGTAACCCTAATCTTTCTTTCCACTTCCTCCTCTGACTTTACATTTTTCTTGAAGCTTTGTGATATTACCAAATAAGGGAAAATCTGTTTAGGATTCCATGCAAAGGGATTTGCTGGTACCAAAGGTATTATGTTGGGAGAGACTCCATGGATATGAATAAGGGACCCACATACCAGAATGTGGAATTAAATTCTAAACCCTAACTGCCCAGTCTGTGTTCCAACTCCTCTTGCTATAATTACTTGTGTTCCTGCAGTCTAGTGACTATGACTCTTCATGCCTCAATTTCTTCACTGATGAAGGTGTGAGGAAAATAGAAGCATCTGCCATATAGGATTTCTAAGACAGTTCATCTAGTAAGGTGTGCTTTGAACAGGGCCTGGTACTTAGCAAATCTATACAGACGTGTGTTTAACTTACAGGAGTAGACACCATTAAAGGGGAATTTTGTTTCATTTAACCAACATTTGAGATGTCATTTTTCTCCTATGAAACCATTACCGATAAAAATGAACAATTAGGTCTAATAACTGCCAGTTAACAAGTAAATGGTTCCAATTCATCAGGTGTTGTTGACTAGGTAAACTGCAAACCTCAGACTCAAAATCTCTTTACCAACAATATAAAGGGAATGTCCAAAGATATGCCACTAACCCACCAACACTGATGATGTGTCTTCAGTTTTGGACTGAAGGGTTATGTAGGGCTAGTAGCAGAATCAGAAAGCAGGCTATTATATCTCATGGAATAATAACATATGCTAGAATATTTCTATTTAGTCTATAAAATTGCATAAAATGACAGGCCATATCGATATCAAAGTTCTCGGGAACTGGGAAACTTGAAAATATTTTCCATTTTGCTTACTTGATTCTAGCTTTATGTGATGGTGTTAGTGGCTATAGGGCTATGTGTATTAATAGTATGCTTACCTCCCCTTCGCTCTTTCTGTGTTTTTAGGGTACACTTGCCTATGGATAGGCATGTGGAGACCAGTTGTTTATATTAGGCATCTTTCATTACTGTCCCCCCCAACACAATGTAAAAGAACAATTAAAAAAGGATGAATTTGAAGGAAAGCATCAAGGAATATATGGGAGGGTGTGGGTGTAGGAAAATAAAGGGAAAATTGATGTTACAATCTCAAAAATAAAAGATTTTTTTTTTTAAAGATTGGGTTTATCACTTAAATTGTAGCTTAACCTTTTGGTTATATTGGCTACCCCACTTGTCCCCAGGATATTCCTGTCTCTGCACTGCCTTCCATTGTTGAAACAAAAGACACATGAGGCTGTGCTTGGCTTTTTTTTCCTGGGTAGTGAGATTCAGCTCATATCCTCATTTTTTGAAATAAACATTGCACCCACTGAGCCATCTCCCCAGTCAATAATTCTCTATTTTTGTAAAACAAACACACTCACTCACTATAACAGGAAAATCATGAAGGTAATGCACCTGTAGCTGTCTGCAAGGGTAAACACCAAAAGGGTAGTGACCACATCTGGAACTGAAAAGGTAATTATCACATCTGGATTAACACTTGTCAGTATCTTTATTTACTGTTTTTTACTGAAGTTGTGTGTAACATTTTGATTACAAAAAATAAGAGCCCAGCAGTGCACCCTTTATGTACTAGCAGTGATCCCAATTTCATTTCCTCTGTAGGTGGCCAAGTTGGAAAATTCTATAAGTGCCAGATGTTTGAACTTATAGAGATTCCAGAAGAATCTTCCTTCACCCCACTCCCAACCCCATACGTTAGTCTGGAGCTATTTATATTTGGTGCCAAATATCTGCCCCAAATCATCCTGTATCACTGACATTTTGTCAGATTAATAGAGCTCAAGTGATGGGAATATGTTGATTTTATGGCAGACCTCCAGGAAAGGCCTTTTACAGATAAAACTGGATAAGATAAATTATATTTCTTGAAACCCTGATGTTTCTATTTAAAGATGTCTGTAGGTACTCAGCTCTTTGAAAGCCTTGTGCTGTGTCTTTACTTTTCTCCAAATGCAGACAAGGTTATCCCGAGGGTAGGTACTTTCGGCCCCATCTTGTGGTTTGTGAATTCCTTGGCCCACCACCTGCAAATGTAAGGCATTCTCTTTTAATTCGAGCTCTTTAGTCAGTCTAGGAAAATGCTCTGCCTCCTCTGAAGACCTGGATTGATTGGTTAGGGGAATATACTTTGGTTCTTGTGTTTGTCCTGGATCAGAGATCAGACACCAGTTTCAAACTACCCTGGCTGAGGAACTCAGAGCGGTGGAGTTCAGAAGTGCACCGAGCGACTGGAAAGTCAGGGCTGTTTATCCAGTCTCTCTGCTGTATTTCCTTGAGTGTTTTAAAGGGAAAAATGATTCTCCAAACTTATAGAATTGGCAACGACACTGTCATATGCTGTCAATTCTTATTTCTTTCCTAATTCTCCTGTTTACTGGAGGTGAAAAGGCAGTGTATGAGTGTAAGTATCAGTGGTAGAGAGGGAGCATCTTTGGATGTTGGTCTCAGAGACACAAGTCCAACTCTGTATCTTTATTACCTCATTTAACACTGTTATTTTGCTGTGAGAAAGTAATGTACTCATGAACATACTGATAGTGATAGACAAATATGAGTTCAAATAACATTGCTGCCTTTTTATTAGGAGAATTGTAGCAGGTCTTACACTCAGATTTATGGGTTATAAACCATAAGCAGTCATTGTCTCAAACTCTTCCTCTTGTCCTCTATAGACAACAAACACCATGACAATGAGGCTAACGTTAACAATAGTAAAAACAGTGACTCCTACCTCAAGGCATCAGCCAGATTCAAGATGGATGAAGCCCTAAACACACATGGTTTCTAGTATACCAACTGCCACTGTGATCAAATACCCTGATGACAGCAACGGGTAAGTAAAGGTGGGTTTGCTCCAGTTTATTTAGGGCAATGAAGACAACAGGAACCTGAAGCAGCTGGTCACATCACATCCAGTAAGGAAGAAGAGAAAAACTCGAGCATATTGCTGCTCAGTTTCCTTTCTCCATTGACATAGTCCAGGACCTGAGCCAGGGAATGGTGCCACCCACAGTGGGCAGTCTTCCAATTTTGGTTAACACAGTCCAATAATCTAACACAGGCATGCTCAGAGTTTTGCATCCCAGGTGACACTTGAGTTTTTCAGCTTAGAAATCAACACCAAACCTATCTCACAAACTCACTCCTTTCTGTCAGCCACTTTTGCTGCAGAGAGCAGCAGCACTTTAAACCCAGGTAATCTCACCCTGATATATGCGGTTATCCATTTATCCTGGAATTCAAAGTACAGATCAGATTTCCAGTTCATCTCTATAATAATAAAACCTCTTCACAGGTCTGGTAAATGAAAACAATACTATGTTCTGAAAATCAGTAGCACTGAAAAAGGGTTTCCAGATTATGGAAGGATCTGTTGAAGAAGTTGCCTGAGTGGTCTTCATTACTTCTCTTTGATATGTTGGTTTTGAGATAGGAGCCAAAGGCTTAACCAATTCACCCTCCTTGCTTTAAGATGAAAGATTGAGGTTTCTATCGCAGCCCCAATGTAATATCACATGGATAATTCTTCCTCATCTTCAGTTTTCTATGACATGTGTCATCTGAATATAGTGGAACAGTTATATCAGGTGTTTATCAATAATTTTATAACTATTATGACTTCAACCATTGTGCATCAGTCTTAGATCCTATGCTTTGCTCTTTGTCTAGACACTGTAGTCTGTTGTGATCTTCAGAAGTCTTACCTAGAGGCTGTGATAGAGTAGAGGAAGAAATATGGTGAGATATAAAAGGAATCACCTAGTCAGGGTCATTTACAACCATGTGTGTATTTGAGTGCACATATATGTTTGTATGTGCATGTGTCTGTGGGTATATGTGTGTATGTGCATGTGTGTGTGTGCACACATGTGTGTGAGAGAGATAGAAATAGAGAGAGAGGGTGTAGAAGTCAGAGAGAGATGCTAGGTGTGTTGAAATAGGAGCGGCGGGGCTGCGTCCCCTGCACCCGGCCGCCCACATGGCTAGCTTATGCCCGAAATAATTACACGGAAACTGTATTCTTTCAAACACTGCCTGGCCTGGCTAGGTCCAGTTTCTTATTGGCTAGCTCTTACATATTGTTCTAACCCATTTCTAATATTCTGTGTAGCCCATGAGTTGGCTTACCAGAGAGGATCTTAACCTGCGTCTGTCTGGAGTGGGAGCATCATGGCGACTCCTCCTCTAACCTTCTTTCTCCCAGAATTCTCTTCTGTATACTCCGCCTACCTAATTTTCTATCCAATAAAATGGGCCAAGGCAGTTTCTTTATTAGTAAGAAATCATTCCCACATCATTTCCCCTTTTTCCGTTTAAACAAAAAAGAAAGGCTTTAACTTTAGCATAGTAAAATTACATATAACAAAACAGTTATCAAGTAAGAATTACAGTTACAATATTTATATCTATTTTATCTCTTATCATAACTAAGGAAAACTATAACTATTTATTCTTCAACTCCATCAAAGACTCCAGAAGGATATAATATTATCTAAGTAAACAAGAAATAAGAAAACTCTAGAAATGACAGAGACATCTCGCTGCCTGGACAGTCACCCAAAGTTCCTCTGTACCGTTGGGGCATCCATCTTCGGCCTACAGGCCCATGGTATCCAGAGACATTTCCATGAAGCAGGAAATTTCAAAGACAGTTCAGTCATTTTCTGCTGTGTCCTGCAGAATGTCTCGCAGACTCTTTCATGAATCAGGAACCCCGAAAGACCATCTCACCTTTAGGCAAGTTCAGCAGTCCTCTCTCTGAGGGTTCTCTGTGTCCAGTTTATGCAACAGTCCAGGCAAGAGCAGTTTCTTGCCCAAATGACTATCCAACTCCATAAGGATCCTCTTCGATGCCCATCTTCCTCTTGAAGTAGCTGGTGCTGCCAGGAGCAGACGTGTCTCCTTGTCATGAAAAGTCCTAAGTTATTAAAATATTTTAAATGCCATATTCTGCAGTCTTTGAAAGATATGAAGAATGCCTATCTAACTGAAATATATCTCTATATATCTAGAAAATCTAATTAACATGACTACAAGCTTAACTATTAGCGATGATTATCCATTAACAACCTATATTTCCTAATTATACATTACATTTTTAAATGAACTACACAATCACAATACCTTAATCAAGATCAAAAATACATATACATATAACAAAATTGACCTTAAAATCCATACCAATGCAAATTATTCATATCTATATCATATCCCCCTTTAAATGTAAAAGAACATTTATAAACAATATTTGGGAACATGGGCGTAGTTTTTTCTCTCCAAACTGCTTCCTGCTGAATAGGGGCGTCGTTAATTAGGTCGTTCATGATATAACCTGTGTGCTAGTTTCATCTCAGTTGGCAATTGAGCGAAGCAATTTTTTGAGGGTGTTCACAGCAACCTTTCAGGAGGGCGTGGTCTATCATACCAAATCGGAATAGATGCAATCCACAGGGTCTCATCCTCTGCAAAAACAAAAGAAGACCCTCTCCAAAGCATCATATCCTTAGACCCAAATTCTGAAATCATAATACCCTCATGAAATCCATTTTGGTTTAGCTTGGCAGCCCATATAATGAAATGTCTCTCTGTACTTAGCTCCTTCACAGTCAAAAATTTTAAAGAAAACACAATGTACATAATCCAGACTCTCTGTGAATTTTCCATTTTTACGTGGCTTATTTTTCTTTATTTCTCTTAATCTATAACTATCTGTACTTCTGTACTCTGTCTCTTTAAAGACTTTACCCTTTTTCTTTTTAAGACATTAACTTTATTCTTTATATTCTTTTTCTTCTCTCTCCCAAGCCTACGTACATTCATCCAACAGTGTCTGAATCTGTTTTATTGTGAATCTGTAACTTTTTTACTATCCAGGAGCACTTTGTTTTGCGCCTTTAAATCACTAAGCGCTTAAGAATCTAAGCTGTGACATTCCTAGGTCAAAAACAGGTACTGTATGCTGGCCCCGCCCAGTCCAACATGGCGGAGCCGCTCGTGCCTCTGATCCTTGCACATTGCACCATTAGCATGGCGGAGCTGCTTGTGCCTCTGAGCTGCGGCACACAATGTCCCCCTTTTAGGCACACAGCAGTCTAGTTGCCATCAAACAAATCGTAGCACTTTAATCCAAATGCTCCATTCATAAGCTCTGTCTCCCGCCGGAGCCAGACAGAGATCACAATGGCGGCACAGCCCAGAAAGCCGGCATTTTAAAACAGCCAGTTTTTTCCTGCTGCCGAGTCAGGACAATTTCTTTGTGGCACGCAACCCAGAAACAGCAAAAAGCTGTCTTAAATTCTCTCTCTCTCCTTTTTAAGCCCTCTCAGGTTTTTAAGTGGATTTAGCCCATCACGTCTGGGCGCCATCTGTTGAAATAGGAGCGGCAGGGCTGCGTCCCCGGCACCCGGCCGCCCGCATGGCTAGCTTATGCCCAGAAATAATTACGCGGAAACTGTATTCTTTCAAACACTGCCTGGCCCGGCTAGGTCCAGTTTCTTATTGGCTAGCTCTTACATATTGTTCTAACCCATTTCTAATATTCTGTGTAGCCCATGAGCTGGCTTACCAGAGAGGATCTTAACCTGCGTCTGTATGGAGTGGGAGCATCATGGCGACTGCTCCACCAAGCCTCCTTTTCCCAGAATTCTCCTCTGTTTTCTCCACCCACCTAAGGGTGGGCCTTATCAAGGGGCCTAGGCAGTTTCTTTATTAATAAGAAATCACTCCCACATCAGTTCCAGCCTCTTATTGGTTAGCTCTTACTATTGGTCTAACCCATTTCTAATAATCTGTGTAGCCCACAAGGTGGCTTACCAGGGAAGATCTTAACCTGCATCTGTCTGGAGTGGGAGAATCATGGTGACTCACTGACTCAACTTCTTTCTCCCAGAATTCTCCGCCTACCTAATTTTCTGTCCTATTAGAGCCAAGCAGTTTTCTTTATTAATTAACCAATGAAAGCAACAGATAAATACAAGACCCACCTCCATCATGAACTATCTCTCCTGCCCAAATATTTATTTATCTATTAATTAATTTATTTTTTATGGATCAATTTTAAGCTAAATTTACTCTGCAGGAATGCTGAGATTAAGCAGTGAGGTAATAAGGAAAGGATAGCAATAAATGAGGTTTTTTTCTTTGTGCTGACACTACACACCTGTCCACTGTTAGATGTTTCCGTTTGCTTTATGGATTTTCTTTTTCACTACTACAGGTACATTGGATATTCTATCTTTTTTTACTGGAAATAAGTTCAGAGACAAAATAACTTGCTTAAATTCCAGCTGTATCAAAGGCAGAGTTCAGATTAGAATCTTTGCTAAAACAATGGAAAACAAACAAAATCAGTCATGAAAAGGTGTAATTCCTGCCCTTGATGGGACATAAAGATCTTTGCAAATATACCTTGAAAGGGCAATAGCACATTGTTTTGGGGAAATCTGAAAAGCCCTGAATGGTTGAAATAATATGAGAAGTCAATGTACATTACTGAAGATGAATACCTTGATTGTTATTTTGCTAATTTAGGTCAGTCTGAAGAAAGTTTGAGAACTGCCAAGTCTCTCTGGGCTCTTCCTCGTTGATAACTTTAAATGAGATATTTGAAAACTAACCATTTTAATGTAAATTTAAAGTGTCAGGTTCCTGAGAATCATATCTCTTCAGAAAAATTAAACTCTGGGAAATCTATTTAATGGTGTTGACTTTCTTCAACAACCCCTTCTTCATAGGTAATAAAGTGAATTTAAACCCACCTAATCTCAGTCACAAACGCCAAATGAGCTGACTCTGAATTAATAAGATTTCGTTGCCACAAAGAATGGGTATATT